CCGTTCAAAATTAGTTTTGAGAATAGTCTTCGAGCATCTCATTTCTGTTATAAGATTTTCCAGTATTGCTGTTTGTTATAGTAATTTCTTCACGCTTGGAGCACATAATCGTTTAAGCTTTATCGCACTGCCGACACATCCTTATTTTTGCTGGTAAATCTAATTTGTGGGCAGTCAGGTGATGACACTTTTCTTTCAGAAAATCTCTATTCGCTTACGGTCCCACCTAGCGTCTTCTGACTGGCGGTCCTCTCAAAATTCAATCATATCTACGGCTTCTTCGAGCGTGAGTCTGAAGAACAGTCTTTAGTTTTACTGATAAAGCTATACCTTAATCCTTTTATAGTTTCACTCTACATCTCATAGATTAAATTCATCTAGATCTACATAGCTGGTTGCGCGAATGCGCGCGCAGCAAAACGTTTCCGCGCAACCGCACTGAGAGCATGGCTTAGCGATCTCCTTATGGAGCAATTGTTCTTAAAGGGCAAATGATGAACGGGAGTATATAACAATGATATCTAGATGCAGCATCCTGAATCTACCAATAACTGTCATTCTCCTCATGTCGCAGGTTATTTTACATGCTGAAACTAAGGATTTTTCCGTAATTTAGCAAGATCTTCAATACTGCACATTTGAGTTTGCTAGAAACTAATTTATTTACACATGTTATCTTGTCTAAACTCTTTTTATAATTTGGTATTGGTTGTTGATCTTAGATACACTTAATATTCTTAAAAAATCCCAACAATAAAAAAAGATCACAAGCACTTATACAAAACACTTTCCTATTCCACAAGTTTATTCCAACGTTTACTTTTTCTTTTCATGAATGGAAGAAATTTGCCTTTTTGGACTATTCTCAACTAGATTCTAGATTGACTGCTTCTCTAAAGTGTTTTTTGAAATAGTTTGACGAAGTTCCTACTTTTGATAAGAACTATTTTTGATGGTTGTATAGAGATAGTAATAACCTTCTTAGATAATAGAGAGTGAATTGTAATTCTCGACGTCTACACTTTAAAATGTTTTGCTTTGTCTAAGTCTTGATTGATAGAGATGACTGATTTTTCGTAAGATGTATATATGAGCAAAAGATAAGTTACTTGGAGCTAAAGACTGAATTTGAAGAACAATATTAATTGTAATCTCCACGTAGTTGTGAAGCATTCTTTTCCTTCTAATTGTCAGTGCTATCCACTTGAAAAGAGTTCTGTTTTACTTAGAGTTACTCAGTATATTTTACTTAGAGTTACTCAGTATAACTAAGTCGATCCATAAACAAGAAACCATAAGAGCGAACGCCCCTT